GGGGGGGGGGGGGTGGGGGGGAACCTGCCTCATTGGGGGTTTAGCAGTGCACCGTTTTAAAGCCCGGCGGCTGTCGAGGGACTCCCGTGTTTGGGCCCGGCGGCCGATGTATCAGTTGATTCAATGGGTGTGTCAATGACTTCCAGTGGAAATCCGGTGAGAGGTGGCATGTTGGGTTGGTTGCTTACCGACGTGAAAAACCGCGCCCCTGTGACGGGGATCACACTCAGCACCCGAGTGGGACGGCTGAGCGAAACACACTCTGACACTTGTATTCAGTGACTCAGTTACCACGTTGGGAAGGAAGGTGATGGAACAGCAAGGTGGAAAGGTCAGCTGAAACAGTATTGTTGAACAATGTTGGCACTCGCAAGCGGCGGAAAGCGAACCGGCTGCACGGCTGCTGGGGACGAATGTTTATGGGGTGGAAATCGTGAAGAACCATGAATCAAGAAGTGGAAAAGTGGAGTAACAGCTTGTGAAAGAACGAGCAGGTACACGGAAGTGATCAGCTTCCGCTTCCTAGGATCTTGCAAAGAGCTTCGTTGGGCAGAGCCTTGCAAGTCCTCTCTGCCCCCCTGCCTGTAGAAGGTGGTTGAAAAACTGTGGAAGGAGTAGCGGTGGAAAACCCTTTGTCCAGGGGTGGACACACACACACACACATCTCTGCCATGCTGCATCCAGCAGGCCTCGACTCCTTTGAGTGGCTCCTCAATGCGATGCCGAACGGCGGAATGGCGTGAGAGCACCTGACTCTACAGGTCTCCTCATTCGGGTTGGAAAGGGCCTTAACAGGCCTTCGAGGGTTGGAAAGACCCTGGCAGTGAGGGTGCTGGTACTGAGTGACTCTACTGTTGTGGACCCCTAAATGATAACACAAACTCACTTCCATTGCATTATACATGCTTATTTATGTCTATGATTACATGTGCCGACTCCTGTGACATCTGATTGAATCGAAGAAGTCTGACACCATCCTAATGGTATGAAAACCAGCATATTATTGTGGTTCATCAGCAGCTTCTAACTGCCAGGCCAGGCAAATTATAGCATGCATATATAATAATTATAATATGTTATAGTTTTGCTTTCTGAGCTTTGGGGAACCTCGTGGCAAAGAAACACTGTCAACACATATTTCCATGTCCCTAGTCATCTGAGACATCATTGCAATTGCAACCGTGACCTGCCTAGTCTCAAGGGTACACTAGATGCAATTCCCCAATGAAAGCAGCACTCCATCATCCTCGTCTTCATGCTCTTCTGCACAGGGCGAACCTGAAACTCGAGACGTGTCTGAAATCTGTCTGAAATTCATGGACAATGCACTGGTTTTGGCTGCCTTAGAACATGTGTCAAGGAAAATATTCAGCGAATGTGGTTCACGATCTTGACTTGACTTTCCCAGACTGATTGATGGGCTTCAAACACAGTCTACGGGGATTGAGGACATATTCTATTGTTGTCCATTTGGGGGCACGCAAGTTGCACAAACAAGTTGTTTATTTTTGCAATGTGTTTCATACACCCCAAACGCGCAGTACACTTGATTCATAGATACTTTATGAATTTATGAGCCTTATGCCGCCTTATGCATAAGATTGACCAAATACAGTCTGAGAGGCTTTGGGGTATAAATACTCTGTCCACCCGATATTTGTCAACATGGAATATTGTCAACATGCACCAAGTGCAACACCCCAACAACATTCAGGAAAAACAATCAAATCGCAGTAGTTCTGCCATGTGAGAAACATGATCTGACTGCTATGTGTAACATGCATCTTATGGTATCTATCTGTAATCGTATTTTTTAATCTTGGCCAACAAAGGATTTGAGTCTGGCGTAGCAGCTTAGCAGGGCGGAACTCAACAAACAGCAGTCTTCTCTGAAAATACATTGGCCTAAAATGACATGTCTCGAGTCAGCAGAATCTAAAAACTCCGCCTCAAAACATGTTGACGGTGGTGTTCTCCCCGGACTGTCGAATAGTCGTTGGGAACACCAGTCGGTCGTTGACGGTCTTGGTCGGTGTTCGTTTCCATCGTCGTTCTCCCCGGTCGCGGGGAGTTGTTGCAGGACCCGCGAATTGGCGATCGTCATTGTGTAGCTACTTCGGAAAGGTCAACGTGAAGCCACAGATTCAAAAGAATGTGGGATTTGAGTTGGGGCTATATGGCAGTGAAGAATCCGAGTGCAAACCGCTGATTGCCTTGGCGGCTCAAAGACTTGCAAAGAAAGAGCTCTCAAAAGAACGTTTCCATGCGAAGTTCTCTCGTGCTCTGGTATGCACAGCCCAGCAGTTGATATGAACATCATTGCTACAGTATCAATGCTCGGCTACGTGGGCTCACCCCAGAATGGCTCATGAACAGATTGAAGACGGGTCTTTGCTTTGTCAGGGCCAGATTGCATCACAACAATCTTGATGCAACCAGTTGGCCAATCCCTACATCTATGGACCTCTCAATGCCCTCACACAGGTTCGGCATAAAACCGCAACCTATCAGCCGGCAAAATCCAAACAAGACAGTCGCATCAGCTCAGCTGCACATGACATTTAGGGACAGAGTCGTTACTTGACAAACAGTAAAGACACGGAAGACACGGCTCCAGGAGATATGAAGGTTTTGCGAGTACTATCCGGAAGAACCCAAACATGACCTTCAACCGTTCACTGAAAGGCCATGTTCAGGTCCTTTCGACCCCACTCACCTAGTTCAGGCCCACCGAGTGACAGGAGCACATCCAGCCGGTCTTGTCGGAGTACCACTTGTTGCTTCGATGGCGCCTACGAGTGATGGCGCCGTCGTGCGGTCGTCCCAACGGTCCCAACGGTCCAGATTGGGTGTGTATTGGTATGGGTATGTATTTTAATAGGGAGGACCAATGGGTAGACTGGTTTGCATATTTCCCTTCGTCCAGGCTATCAAGCTGGGTGGAGGTCTCCCAAGTGTCCTCCGGATTGGAGGTGTCGACGAGGCATTACTCATGGCCACGAGAAACACCAGGACGGGAGATTTACTGATCAGCCGACCGGATGATCGAAATTATATGATTTCCTGTGAATTTACCGGATGAGCAAGCAAATCTGGATACAGTCGTCTCAAGCAATCCCGAAAACCATTGTTGTCTTCAGGATACCGTTCCAGGTCCATATGGTGCGATTCAAGTGGCATGGACAAATGTGGCCACAGGACGGTGGCCAAATAGTTGTTGTAGATCCTGACGCGATCCAAGTTGTGGCAACAAATAAACACACTGCAAGAGAGAAAGAGCGAGAGAGAGAGAGAGAGAAAGAGAGAGAGAGAGAGAGATAGAGAGAGAGGGAGGGGGAGAGAGATGATTGGCCAACATGAAGATGTGGCGGTGGAATATCACATCCAAAAAGTCCCTACTTCAACCAGGAGGAGTGCCTGAACTCTAGAGCCATGAACCCCAAATGGTCGCTCAGCAAGCTTTGGCGAGGCTTGGGTGTGATGGATGATATAGAAGCACATATAATATAGACACTGCAGATCCAAGGTTTTGGATTCGATGTCCAAAACAGCTCGAACCGAAGATTCATGAAGGACCAGATCCCTTCCACCAATAAGAATCTAATAAGAACATGTTGCGGGTTCAAACGGTCGGGGGTTGAGGACATGCTGCAGCATGCTGCAGCCACCGTGGGCCTGGCCCAGTAGGCCAAGGATCTGATTTTTCTTCTTCACAGCCTCACTATACAGCTCTCCCAGCAGACCAATGTAGGTATTCATGGCCACGACCTGACATCGCCATGGCGGACATGGTTTCATTCGGACCGACATGGTGCGTCCAAAAAACGAAAACATGATCATGGAAGTGGAAGAGTTCGGCCCTTCTTTCAAGATGCGACCCATAACACTTCTCCAATGGTCCAACCAAACAGGTGGTTCCATGCACTTTCCATGTGGTGCTTCTCTCGGAGAGGATTACTCTCAACACCGAAAGGAGGTTCCTATAGGTAAGTGGCCCAAGCATGATCAGTGCTTGGGAGGTTTGTTCAGGGATCTTTACATGTATCTCGGGCCGGGACTATTGTTTGAGGTACGGTGTATGTTTGATTGATTAAGCCTTTTGGGTTTGGTTCAGGGTTTGCTTAGGGTTGATGTGTTGATTTTAGGGATCGAACACAGTTTGAAACAAACACCGTTTAAACAGTGCTTTTCTTGCAATAAAAAACACGTGGAACAACTGCCTGTCTCCAATTCGCCGGCCATAGCAGGTGAAAACCCTTCCCACCGAAACGGACGTACGACGTCCGCCAGCCACCGCAGTTGGGTTCTTGGCCGAACCAAGTCCCAACGAACAGCAGCCCAAACTGTAGAAGTTCCAGTGCATGCGGATGGAAGAAAACCTGGAGCCCGACCAGTCTCACCATGCAGGGAGTTTGACCTCCCAGGTAGGTCAGTTCGGTCTCCTGATGCCATGACCCACAGCTGTTGACTAGGACCGGCTGCTCCAACCCTCCCCCCGTACCCGCCAGGGCTCCGAAAGGAAGAGGCTAATCAGGACGAAACCCACACGGATTCCTTGATATTGCCTGCGTGCACGTGCGGGTGCCGTGTCGCGGGGAAGAAGAACACCCCAGTGAAACCCGTTTTGTCATAGACGAACGGCCAGTTTTGTGTTGAACGCGTTAGTTGTTTTCCCATTCAAGAGAGCCGTACAAATCTACAACTATAGTTGTTTGAATGTTTTGTGCAAGCATCAAAAGCATGCCCGCGATCAATTTCAGTATATTCAGTGTCTTTTGATTGATACCATTGGCCCATAATCCTATGACCTAAGGCGTTCAAAATCCTGGCCATCGAACGACATGTTGAAAGTGAGCACCCTTGATATCAAACCTGTCTATTCAGGTAGTTCACTCAATCTGTGCGTCTCAAGAACACGATGGAGCCAAGCAAACCATGCATCACAAGGCCCCAGTGCGCCGTGCGCCAGCAGGTTGATCTCTTTGATCCCCCCAGAACCCCAACGTATCGAAGCGCCTTTGCCCTGCATGCCACATGCTGCCTGCCCAAGTGCAGAAGGTCAGAGCCCACTTGAACAAATGGGTGGGCTGTTCTTGGCTTCTCTTGCTCCAGTAGGCAGTAGGTTAGTTGTTATAGGCATTGCTTGGAGCATTGAATTTCGATCTTCAAGCATGTTTCAACGTTGAAAGTATAGCTACTGAGGTAAACCACCGGCCTGTGAACTCGAGATGGGCCGCAGAAATATCGCCACTCACATTCTGACGCCGATTTTGCCTGGGACATCGGGCAGGTGAAGAAAACGAACGCTGAAGACGACCCAATCGACTCCAAATATCATCATGTCTACAATGACCTCTGGAAAAAGCACGTTTCCCCCACCAATGTTTCATCTATCCCCGCTAGGATGTCTGCTTGTTAGACCGTGCCAGAATAGTCCGTGCAAAAGATGTTTTCCTGGGAAATAATTGATGTTTCCTGATGCGGATGGACTTGTGTAACACCCAAAAGCAAAAGCAGCAGCAAAAGCGGCATCCAAATGTGAAGTACACACTGTCCAGTGTCTTCCGGGCTGGGCAGCTGGCTTTCAGTTTGTGCTCGATGTTTTTGGACGGCCCGTGGATCAGCAATTGAGGAGAGGAGAAGAGGTGAAGACCGTGACCAGCGTTTTAAGAGATGTTCTTTGAAGGAACGGAGGAACCTTTCAAGGCCTTGAGAAGTAGATTTCTGAGGGAGGAACCTCTTAAAGGACAAAGGTTCTCAAAGAAGGAACTTTGGAGAACGACAACACTTTCTGAATGATCATGTTGACGCAGGTGAGAACCCATATACTGAGAAACATTCTACTACGAGAATCCTATTGGATCTAAAGATAAAAGGCGTTCATCGTGAAGAAATAAAGACACATATCAAGGGATAAAGGGATATCAAGGGATGATCGACAGCTTAAACTAATTGATCAAGGGATATCAAGCGGAACAGGTTCGATGTATTATGTGAAGAGAGACCTTGTTCATCCTTGTTGCTACACAAAACATCGCAGAGTTAATTATGTTGGTGTTTAGAGTCGATGAATCCCATTGCACATGAACCCTTCAACTGCGAAGTCTTGCAGTCCTGTGCTCAAAAGTGCCACAAACCCAGAAAATGATGCGTGCCAAGTCAAGAACTGGGGAGGTCCCCTGTCATCTAATTCAGAAAATGCAATATGTGTTTTCTCTCAATCCGCCCTGCGCAGGGTCTTGTTAAGATCTGGAAACATCTGTGATCATCTGTGCACCTCGGCCCGGGTTTCTAACGTCGCTGTTTGTCCGTCCGAGGAGCAGCTCATCCAGATCGAAGTCGCTTAACATCTCCAAGCGGAACATATCGATGAGGCCTAAGGCGACACGGAACGCCTGTTGCAGGCCGTTTGTGGCCCGTTTCTGGCTGCAGAAATTATTGGTCTAGATCAAAGTAACTATGCTGAGTAGGGTGGGATGATGATCAGATATCATCAGCATTCCACCCAAAAGCTAACATAGAAACCACTGCCAAAGATGTCGTGGGTGAGTACGTTCCCACTGTCACCAATGCACATGTGGCTGGGACAAAGTAACTGCATTATGTGGAACCAGAAGGATGCAAGGTGGAGTTGTGCCTGGCAAGAGGTGGGCAGTTCGCGGGAAGACATCAGCCTTTCGAAGTCCTTGTGATTGATTCCCCAGGTCCAAGTCGCGATCCAAGGCTGTATCAAAGGAAGCCTCCTGATGCAAAGGAAAGACAAAATAGGCATGGAAGGTGGCCAGCAGCGAGCAAGTCCTCAAGCCGGTGAACCAGGTGTTCCTGGTCGACGGACGGCGCCACCCCTGTGGTGCGATCTCCATGTGTCCCTCACTCACAGACCACAACAAAAACGAACAAAATGCATCGAGTGCATGACGTTGAGGGGTCTGAACCTGTGCTGGTTGAGCTCCTGTGCTGTTTCATCGATGGATGTGGTGCCAACCAAAAAGCAACATCGACAACGTCAGGGAATCGCATGATGACTCGCCAAGTCTCAGGAAGAGCAAGAAAATGAGGGAGGCCGCACGCGTGACCGCATGGGCCAGGGGAACCACGTTGCGTCCCACGGATTCAATCAACTGCCTAGCCGGCCGGTGAAGGAGAACAAACGACTCCGGCACTTGATGTTCAGTTGAGAATTGGTGTGTTGGGATCCTGCAAGTGCCGAAGTGGGACAAAAAGTATGAAAGTTGATGAACAATGCGTCACGAACTAGCGTGAAAAATGCCACTTTCACATGAATTTGGGGTGTCTAGGACTTCAGAATTGCATGCACATCCATCCAAAAAGAACACCCCAATCCACTGGCCAACTGCCTGCCGGGCGTTTCGGCCCAGGACTGGACAAAGGACAATAACACGAAGACCCAAGGCGATCAGGCGACCAGGTGAACTGAACTCTCACTGTCCGTCTTTCTCAGTGCAGGAACTGGAGATTTCCTTCATATCCCCGTCTGTTCCACTGTTGGAGATGTGCTCAGGAAAGCAGGTCATGATCAACGGTTAATGAAGAATCATGATTTCAGCAAAACAGTCCCCGTGATTTGTTGCTCCGGATTCACTCAGAAAAGCCTAGGGGCCTAGCTGCTTAGCTGTGCATTTCACTATTTGGAAGACCATCATGGAACATTCATCATTTGAGATCAGTCGTCATCCAACATCGCCCAAACTGTGGCTCTCTTGAAGGTCAAAGACCTGAACCCTTCAGTGGAATTCCTGACACCAAAAGTGGATTCTGCCTTCAGAGATTCAGATTACCAGGACCGACACCAAGAGGTGTCTATTTTCTTAGCCCTCTTACAGGTTAAGGGGTGTCCAAAAACCAACTATTGGACGGTCCTGGTACATGACATGCTTCCACCGCAACATGCGTCTGTTTCCGGGCGTTCCGTTCATCGCCCAGTGGCAGGCTGTTGATGAACATCGCCCAGCGACAAAGGATGAGCCTCGTGAGTCCGGGACCAAGAATTATGCAGAAGAATATATACTGTATACAAGAGTATACAAGACCAAAAGGAATTGTGAAAAACTAAATCAGAACACAGCCATGACGAAACAGTCTTTTCAGCAATCCTTTGTGTGAAGTTGCTCACTTGAAACATTTCACCACGTGAGTCACGTGTCACCGCCAATCCGATAACCAAGGAGCAAGGCCAAGAGGTTGGGATGATGCTGGAAGTATCCATCTCAGAGCGCGGCAGAAGTCGAGGCTGTTGTCTTGGAATTGCCAAGCGTGGACTCATGCAGGAGTTGCATGAATCCATTGGGAAAACATAGACTGACTATTCTATTCCAAGCAACGATTTCAACCAATAGACTCCAATAGACTTTGTTGCAAAAGCCGTATGGAAACACCCAAACCCGAGAAGCAACTATACTGTACAATTTATAAGCTGCGAACAGGTCAAACAGTGACAACAACAACAACACAAAAAAACGACAAGAATAGTCCCCCAAAATTCAACAAACAAAGAAGCCACATCGGAAAGAACACAAATCAAAGTAGAAATGTGATTCCTATCCCTTTTTGCTAAGAAGTGTCTGGCGTCCGCATACACAATTTCAATCAATTTGACATTACACATTGAGCGCCCCATGAATTTCCTTGGGGGATCCATCAGATCTTGTCACAGTCAACACCCCAAGGTCAAGCAAACATGCACCGTGCACCCTCCAAATGCTTTTAATTGGACCCTTGGGCATGACGATCTTTCACAGAATATAAACTCAGCCACTCTGGGAAGGAACAACCACTGGCCTTCATCGATGAAAGTCCAACAATATGCCCACCAGTGTGGTGGCCAAGCCGCTCGACCGCTTCGTCAGTCCGCTCCGCTTCGTCGCCAAGCATCCCTCTTTATGAGCCTTGTTCGTCCACGGCCACATACATTCTTTTCGGCGCTTCCAAAACTCCTCCCAACTCCTTAGGACTCTTCGCCCGAAGAGTCCACGCATCTCAAGGCGAGGCGAGGTTTTTCTGCACGGCGAACGGGCGACACGAAGCTTCGTTGAGGCAGTGAAACGTGTCTCAGATAGACGTGGTTGAGAGTTGGGTGGATGATGATGGATGATGCGTGTGATGCCCCACTGGCAGTCTTGCTGTCCAAATGGATGAACAAAAAGGCACTTGTCCAGGTGGAAATAACAGGTTCCTGGCCACCAAACGAAGTGGATTTCGCAAACTCACATTAATCAGCTGGGGCAAAGAAAGAAAAGGACTTCTGGAGCCACTCACAGCGTCCTTTGTCCCCAGCTCGCTCAAACTTGACAATGACCGTCCAGAACGAGGCGCTTCGATCACCAGCCCTAGGGCTCCAGTCGTACCTCCTCAGAAGGTGTTTGGACCCTCCTGGCACCCACCCCAAACACATTCTCAGAAGGTATTTGGAGCCCTAGGGCAGAGTAAAGAATGTTCCTGGTCGCCACCGTGGATGTTCCCCCAGACGCAGGGTCCGTCCGTCCACACGGGTCGAATCCGGCTCGAGTCGCCCCCGTCCGTGCCCACCGGAGCGAATACGAAACGGTGAGAAGGGGAAGTTAAAGTCAGTTCTGCGATCTGAGTTCTGTGAAGCCAAGACACTCAAACTGTTGTCCATGATTGTTGACCTCATTGCTCACCTCGGAACCGTTTCCTTTTCGGCCGCTGTGGCATCCGATGCCAGGCGGAGAACCACGCAAGCACGCACGCACGCACGCACCCTGATGCCGCATCGGCGTTCGCGGCGACGGTATCACACGGTTCATGAGGATTATTTCAAAACCTTTATAGATGACTCTGATTTATCATATATCTGATCAAGGCTCTGATCAAGATACAGTCGACTGTGTTATCTGTCATGAGGACGAAAAACGTTATCCCTTTAAAGTCATTCTCTCGACGCAGGATAAACAGAATGTGCGACAATGTGAGGTTTGTTGATACACCTGATATGGTATAGCTTGTCCGCCTTGAAAACCATTGGCTCGTTCGTGTTTTGTGGGCAGCCCGGGAGCAATGCCAAGGATGTACAAGATCACCAGAATGGTGGACCCCACCTCCATGCGACGCTCCGGTCAGTCGAGGCGGCATGCTCGTGGCAGCTGCACAGGACAAATCGCGTGGTCAGCTGCGCAGATTCAGAGATCACAAGCTCTTCAGAACTATGATATTATAGAAATTGGATGAGCATCATATGTTGTTTCTGTGGTGTTGGTATATCTCTGGGATTCTGGCGGATGTGCATGGATGTGCAATGTTTCCTGACCAGGAGGTACTTTTGAATAGCGCGGGTCATTATCCGCAGCGGAATATGTACCAAAAGGAATCCGATGCACTCCACCTTAGAGATGTAAATCCCATGCACTGCTCAATCCATATGCCATTCCCAGCCGTCGTCTGGGATATGATGTTGGATGGGGACCAGCTCAACTTCACCCATGATTTAGGCATGCAATTCTTTGGCGAAGTCGGGCCATGTTTGAGGAGTCACAGGCGACCGCTGTGCTCTTCTTCATGCCATCCCACACTCTCAAGATCTCTTAAGATTGGTGTGACATTTCGATTCGCAAGGATTCCCCAGACTTCCTGAAAGAAGCAAAGACAAACGCCAACAGTTGGCGGTGAACCCCATACTTATCATATTTCAAGTACACACCCTGTCTGACCTGTCATATTGAAGGTCCCTTTAGTATTAATGTCACAACGTCAACCACCGATTTGCGATTCTCCCAACTTGACAGCCGAACGACACCAATGTTTGCACATCGCTTTGGATGCTGTCTATACCGACCTTGTCGACTTAGACACGTTCTGATTGCAACGTGCTGAAAACACCGTGGAAAAAGCGGATTCTAGATCCGATCTGCTGTCATACTGGTGTTCGTTAACAGGTGCAACTCGTTGATAGGATCCGGGAGTCGCCTCATTCCAGTCGCGGGAGGGAGGTGAGAGGTTGAGAGGTTACCGAAATGGTCCTTTTTTGATGACCAGCCACTCAGCAGTTAGGTTTGACTGCATGGTCAGACGGGCAAACCCGGATGTTGCCAGCCTCAACGGAGATAAGTGCCACTGTGTAGAGCGATGTCTTCACGGCAGGCGTCGTGATTTCTGCAGGCACGAGAAGCTGGAGAACTTCATCCCGAGGTGTTCGAAACAAAAATCTGTTAGAGCAAACAAAGCAAACACAAAAAAATCACAAAAGCACAAATTGTTACAGGTATCTGCATCTTCTCACAGGGATTAGCTTCTAGCATATAACATCGTGTAACCTGTTTCCAGCCTGAAGAAAGCTATTCTGCATCTCTCTTACAGATGTCACATCATGAGAAGGTCCGGTCACAACGCGGTGCTCGACAGTCTTGGCTCAGCTCCAAGTGGCTCTTCCAAGTGGTAGCATAGAACATGAGCCGATCAAAGGCTTTCCGCAACAGGAACGCCGTAGAGATACCCATGAAGAGAACCTGATTGCGTCCACAAGTCTGGCGAAGAACAGTCAGTGGAGGGCAACGAATGCCGAAAGTGTGACAAAACTGATCCGAAGGAACATAAATGAAAAGGACTGTTTCTGGGTCTGACAAATCCCAAACACTCCATGGGACTGCCATATTTGCCATTGGGCCATGGGCCAGGGGGGTCAATGTAGGCATCTACGGCATACATGGAGTGTCTGGGATTAACAGTCTTTGCTTGTACAAAGCCTGGTAAGTATTCCAGTGCTGGAACTCGTCCAAGCCACCTGACCTAGAAACCAAAGCTCGCTTGCCCCATGGACAAGGTTTCCATATATCATATTATAGCACTCAATTAACTATGGTTTGCAGTGTGTTACCTATTTGGGGTTATGAACTTTTGCCAAAATCTGGGTTAAGGTGGTCATCCTGAACACGGGGGAAACAACTATTCACTGCTCATGTCACACTCGATAGAGATCGATATGTCCTACCGTACTGGGAAGAATGATCAGTGCTTGGCTATATGGGTGCGTATTTTAAGAGGGAAACCCCAAATCACCCCAATGGCACTGGTCTATTTTCGTCTTTCAGGTGTTTTCTTTTTGGGAGGTCTTCCTATTTCAATACACAACTCACCCGTGATCCTCCGATCATGGCCCTCGTGATCCTCTGGAGGCGCTCCAGATATGTTTCCACATGCCGAAAAACACGCCCCGTCACCCAACGTGGTAGTTTTGAGAAAACCACCACAAACATGGACAAAAAAGCATGCTTAAAGAACCAAGGAGCCGTCAAGGTTCCAGGCATAGTTTCAGAGCGAACAGCATAGCCAACAAAGCCCTCAGCAAAAGGAATAGGTGTCTGAGAAAAGGCCATGGAGAACTTCGATAGACGTCTGGACAACATTCGAGAGAAAACGAGTCCGAGATTCAGTAATAGCTGCAAAGAAAAACAGATGCGCAAAAAATAGATCCCTGTTCTATCAGGTCAAACTACCTGCAGCAAGGGCCAGCTCGACAAGTTTCTTAGACATACAAGTCCACTCTGCGTGGTAGCCCTCTCTGTGGGTGCAACTAGTGGTTGTTCTCAAGATTTAAACTATATATGTACACTGTACACTGCTACACCAACTATGGTGCATATTAATAGATCAAATAATTGGGTCCTGCTCCCGCCTGACACATTTGACGGTCGGTCGAGTACCCATCACTAAGAACAATGCAACTTGTTTGGGGCCTTCCGCGTGTGCATGAAGCAGAGTTCTCTGAGGCAGGGGCTCCTTGATTTGTGCCGGGTTCGTCATGCGTGGGATGAAAGCTGTTTTCAGCCCTAGAGCCCCTAGTATCTGAGTGCCAAAAATGGCCCCAAATGATGCTGGATGAATCGAGTCTTGTGAGACAGGATCCTGGTTCTCTACATGATGTCACCCATGATGTCCACCTTCCCACCTCACACAAGGTTTCTGAAATTTGTAAGCATAGAGATTGCAAATCGCATGTACCAACTATACTTGGGCTTCCAAACAAACCATTGGCATTGATGACAATGAACATCGTGATTGGTGGATCTGAGTTGATCGGAAGGTTGTTCGGTTTAATGGCTGAGTGACCACCAAGAACACCTCCAAACCGGTTTGATTCGGTTTGATGGTTGAACAGCTTCGTTGCGCCGCTGGGTCCACCACCAGCTGTGTGCTTTGTTTTCATGTTGTGTTGTAATCATATCGAAGAGTGATCATGGCCACAAGGGTTGGCAGCATGAAGCGATGACCAGCTATCCAGTGTCAGAAAATACACCTACTTACCTTTGCGAGAAATCTTGATATGTGTGTTTCCTCTGCCACAACAAAATATATACAATAAGATCGGCTGTGTTTGACATCAAGCGCTGCAGAGTCTTTCTCTGCCACCGAATTCCTGCCCCCAAAATGACCCAAATTCCTGCCAGAACCCCCCTTGCGAAACCAGGCGCTAGGAGGATGATGAACATCAAATCATTTAGAATCACCTTGGAACGTCAGACTTGCGTCTCGTACATGCACTGGCTGGGCCACAGGCCTCCACTCCTTTTTGGAGATGACAAGGGGAGTAGTGAACCTGGGGCAAATGCTATTCACGGTAAAAGTGAAGAGTGGTGATGAAGAGCGACCTGTATATCTTCCAAATTACTTTTGTTTGTTTACTGACTGCTTCGTGATGATCTGCTGGGAAAGTGTGCAGAACCGTCATGGAGGGACTCCTGATGCGCTGCCATCGGACTGGTCGGAGTGGCCTTCCGATCCAGGGGATCCGCGGGCGAACAAGCAAGTCAACCTGCTCCAACAATCAAGGTAGTTCTCCTAATCTGTTCCCACCTTCTTATCTCCTTTTGAAGTGCTTCTTCTTGCAATGAGGCACCTGGAACAAACAAATTTCACGCCCCGGATCCGAACACACCCGTGCGAAAAAAAAACCTTGGTCCGACCATAAGTGTATGCATTCATGGGTAATTCTTTCCGTCTTTCTTGGAAAGAACTTGGAATATCCAACTTGCAAGAAAGCAAGAAAGAACTTGGGCCTGGGAGATCTCCAACTCAATTGAATCCAAGAACTCAACCTCACTGCGGACCTCCAACATTCGCCCAGTGGCATATTTGAAGTGGTGCCGCACACGAGCCTTGGCCGCCAAGACTAAGGCACAAGCGAAAGTCGTGCTGAAGACCTCAGAATCTGAGCCCGTATTCGTCAATTCCTTGGTTCGGGCTCACCGGTTCATGTGCAAGTGAAGCCTCACGATGCGTAATATCGGAGAACATCTTTTGAGGGATTGTCAGTCCCAATCGTCATCATGTAGTAGAGAATAAGTATTGTACATCCTTGTACCAACTAAAGATAGCAGATGCATGTGCATAGTTTGTTCATGTGTTTTTCTAGCTGCAGAAGGGGGTGCTACTTTGGACCTGACGCTGACGACACATTCCGAAGACACATTCCTCCTCCTACCAGCAAGGTCTGGCGACAAACACGCTGAGAACAGAAAAGGCCCCTGACGTCACACAGACACTGACGACACATTCCGAAGACACATTCGCCGACGACCCCTTTAACCCTCACGACACAGAGAAACTGACGACACATTCCGAAGACACATTCGCCGACGACACATTGAACCCTGACGACACAGAGACACTGACGACACATTGTGCAGACAGATTTCCTGGACAGATATTTTTTTCCAGGGAAAACTGGGTCCGCCGATGCTCTTGAAACAAACTGAGACTGTAGGCGCGCGCGCCCGAGTTTAAAATAATGTGTAGCAAGCCGCATTGGATAATTATGATCAAACCCGGAGTTTGTGCACTTGTGCCTGCTCCGCATAGCATCATAGCATTCATAGCCTCGGGGGTATGTGCGGTCTCCGCTGGGACATATGTCTTCCTAGATTTTCTAGGCCCGAGGTCTTCTATGTCTTGTGACATGACTGAAATATACTGAAGTGAGCAAGACGTAATAATTTGAAGCCCACCCACCCACCCACCCAACCATACGCAACCCTGTATAGGAGTTTGTGCACTTGTGCCTGCTCCGCATAGCCATCATAACCTGGTATAGGGGACTGAATGTAATGGTACTTGTTTCTTGGATGTTAACTGCTACTCAGGAATAAGCTGACTAAGTATGACTAATCATCAGACCCCTGTAGCAAGCAGCATTGGATCAGGATCAAACCCGGAGTTTGTGCACTTGTGCCTGCTCCGCCCCTGCCAGAGATCAGATGTGAAACAGCCGACCGGCCCCCTCAGCTCCGTTCGCTATCTTTGGAGAACCAAAAGACCAAGACTCTGCAACAAAAAGGTCAACACAGCCTGCAACAGTGGAGCCCAACCTGATAAGCAGTGTATATATAATATGTTCAAAAATCAAACTGGGGGGAACTCGTGACTTGACATGGGGAAAATGAAGCATACTTGAGATACATCGGGGATATTGCGGTTCTGTGCAACGAATTCTTTGCATCCCAATGCTGTATCCATATGGAGGTTGGATGAGGTTAGAAACAATCAGAATGCCTACCTCTTTCAACAAAAAGAACTGGCAAGCCAAAGCTCCCGCAACATCACCGCCAATTGGTAGTCGTTGCACATGAGGAGCCTCTTGGCAGGGCTGATGGAGAAGTCCACACGCAAGGCAATGCGATGAAAACCAAGTCGCTTCCTCAGGTGCCGAAGGGGTGGACATCTTCTCAAACAGTTTCTCAGATGATAGAATCTTCTTACCTTCTTTCGCCAGCATGAGGGTGAATCCTGTCGCTCTCAGAAGATAGGCATATACTATATAAAAATCATATAGAAACACATTCCTTGTCCATCAAGGGGTGTTTAATGGAGATCCCTAAGTGGTGTAGGGGCTTCCAGCCAGGTGACCCCGACATGAAGGTGCTGGTATGTCAGTCAAGCTTTAAAGGGCGTATCCTTCTGATCTCCGTCCTTTACGAACAATCCTGCAGCTGGGAGGGTTGAGTTCACCAACGGTATGTGTTGCACCCACGAAAAGAAACAACGTGCAGCTTTAATGGGGTCAAAGCAAGCAAAATGAATGCCGGGAGACATGCTGGTCAATGTAAAATTCAGATCATGAAAATACATTATGTTTTTGTTTTCACCTGTTCTTGTTGGATCTCATCAGATTTGTGGGTGTAATTATCACAAAGCCTTTGTAGCCATACAAAGCTCAACCATGTGCCGATGTCAGCCAGGTGAGTCTTTTTATTGTGTTCAGTGTTCACAAGGTTTTGTCTTCCATTTCTCCACATCAACCTTGGCAACTCAGTCAGGAGTAGTGGTCTCGGGAATTCTTATTTCTTTAGACTCAAAGAGTTGCGTCGTTTGGCTTCAGGGATCCTTGGCAACCACGTTCGCAAGTTCCACTTCTAAGTTGGCGAGTCGGAGTTAGAGTTGAGAACTAACCTGGGGTTCTGAGTTCTGGCATGTTTGATGCAAAGCTGAAGGCAGGTGTTCAAAACAAAACATGCCGATTCCTTCTCCAAGTTGCTGCATATCCCGATTCTTCCTGCATTTTGTTGTGAAAGTTGGAAATTAAAAACATCAAGTTGTGTAGAAATCTCTCTGAATTTTTGAAACAAGCATTAGTTATCAAGCACAAGCTGCATTTGCTGGCTGGATATGCGGCCTGCTTCGGAAACCAAATTTCTTCTAAACCACTAAAGCTCTCTCTCACACACTTGGGATGAAGCTCATGTCATGTTCATAAAATAGGGTGTCAACACCCTGCAGTGATAAACACACAAATACCTCTATGTTTGTCCATAAAGCTCAAAATAGGTTTGGACATTCTTCGACCAACAGCCAGTTCAAGAAGGCATCACATCTCTTGCACAAAGCAATATGAAAACTCCCTGGAAACTCTCCGAAGCAAGTGCAGCTACTTTTGCGGTTTCGAAGCCTCCAGATCTTTTGCTTCACATTTGCGAGCCATTTGCAGAAGCCTTCACACCACCATTGGCCCAAGTACTGGTCGTGAGTAATAGTGAATCTCATCAGCTCGTCTCTCGCTTCTTTAAAATCCTCTTTCCTGGGGCGCAGACAAGATCCATCCGTCGAATTGTCTTGCGTCGTCATGCTGACCAGCAGAGACGACTCGGGATCCATGCTGGTCGACCCTAAGGCTATGCTCATTCATGTCCTGGTAGAAGCCAGTTCTTTTCCACCTTTGGCTGCAAAATCTGGATACAGTACTGCCCCATCGGCTTTAATTGAAGCTCCTTGCCACAAAGGTGGACCTCTTCCCGTCCTCATGTGTTCTTAAGATTTCTTAAGGGCCTACATATGTCTGTGATGGGCTCTGGAGTTGCTATCTACACCTGCAAAGTAAGTATGTGGTACCCATGGGTGTTATGGTTCAATTCTTTTTGCTGGACACCCTGGCCATGGCCAGCTTGGTCTGTGAACTCTGGCTCAAGTTGCCGAAGTGAGCCCTATTTGTAGGTGGGAATCGGCTTCCTGGATTGAATTCTCTGTGTCCATTCCCCCAATCTGAGATGCTCTCACAGGAACATCTGTCCTCTTCAGAGGTCGACCCACTCGCGATGCCAAACTTGACCCCATTGGCTCAAGGGGCGCAATACAATGGTCGAGCAGAGCAGTCAAAACACTCCACAAACACCACCTGAAAACGTGTGCAAGGCTGCAAAAACACCAGCTGCTCGTGGCGCGATCCTGCGCGATCTGCCCCGAGGCACGGCAGTTTCATGGCCATGTCGTAGAGGTTTGTGGTGTGGCTTTCCACCAAGTGCCTGGGCCATGAGTGCTTCGATGTCGCGGCGCACCAAGCGGCGAAATGCCTGTGGTGTGGTGGGGGGCGATTCTCAAGGAAGTGGAAGGCAGTGGCCAGAAAGAGCGGGTCTGTAGCTGTTTCTGTCTAGAGCGTCATGTTGGGATTTGCTGAAGGGCTGGAAACTACAAAACAAATTCCAAGAGCTGGCAGACTCATATATTGTGCAAAGTTTCTTGATATTATTGGCCAAGTGATATAGTCCACAGCACCTTCTGTTTGTACAAGGGAGTTTTCAGTTGACTATAATTGACTATATACAAACGACTGATTGCATCTTCTCTTATATGATTTGGTCGGGGTGTCGCAGCAAATCCGGAATGCCACCGCTGATTTTGGTGTACATCCACAAAGCCGAGCACGCAGGACATGCAAACTCAACTCCAATCCTTTCAAGAACAGCAGGACCATCCCAGATTAAGAACAAACATTAAGCGTATTGGTCCTTGGTGCTAAGCCACTCTATTGTACCGTTTGGCACTCCAAAGAGACAAACAACAGTTCCTTTAAACCTGCGTATCTCGGTTCTCCAAACAGAAAAGACGATGCTCAACACTGACTAAACGGACCGAAGTTTCAACCAGAGCGTGTGAACGGGTTCCCTGACCCGCCGGGTTCCTCAAGCAGAACTCCAAACACGGAGCCCAAAATCACCCGTGTTTTGAAGAATCGGAGATGTGGCCGAAATCACCTACCTTTTTTCAAATGATTTGCACTCTTTTTGTCGTCTTCGCAGAGACTGTTTTTGGAACCTCTCCCAAGCATATTTAATGTGGTAGTGTGGGTATGAAGGACCTACATTCACCCCATTTCACCACTCTTCGCCGACGTTTGGTGTGTTTGAATGTGGACGCTGAGTAGACATGGATGAGTCAGAATGAGCACGTCATGAGAAGAATTGCTGGAGCACATCATGATCCTCCATGGCAGCCAGGTGGCAAGTCCCAGTCACTGTCCTGCACTTTGCGGATGACCTCGTTGTGCTCGCCGAAATCTCCTCCCACAGCGAACCGTCCAGTTCGGTCGCAGCGGTCGAAACCCTGTGATCACCCGTTGTTGTTCCCGTCACGTTAGGCGGAATTCAATGAGGAATACTTCGCGATACACCAAGTTTGGTGGTGAGGATACGTATCCAAGACAGAGTTTGTTCGAAAACTGCTCTGAACCTACATAGTGCCATTGCGCAAAACACCATGAACATCACAGCACCTCCTGTTGTGTCTTTATGAAGCCAACACATAGTAAGGCAGTAAGGCATACATGGCATCTATAATGATTATTAGCAAGATCTAGGACCAAACAACTCCAAAACAAAGTATCAAGTGGACGCACATAAGGTATCGCTCCGAAGCTGGGTATGGTACAAGTACCCATCCTCCCTGGCTGTATGTGATGCCCCAAGTTTCAGCAAAGCTTTGGGAAATTGCGATGTTCATGACTATGACTCTCCTTCAATTTTGTTGGACCTTGTTAGACCACAAATACTCCTTCCCAAAACACCCCAAACCATGGCAAACCATGGAACAGAAACGCAACGTCAGAGAACGCAACGTCACGCAGCACGAGATCATGTTATGTCACTTTAAAGAAATCAAAAACACCACATTCTCCCAACATTCTCGGTGCGGTTCGGCCTTTCTTAAGGGCCTTTCTTAGAAAGGTGAGTAGTTCCTTATCGTCAACTTCCTCAGTCGGGCTCAGGCTAGGGCTGCGACCGCCGGCGACCGCGTGGCACAAATGCCACGTCAGAGCGTCGAAATCCGGACTCGTGTGTTTGGCGTTTCCACGGGGAGTGAGACCTAAGGTAAATATGGAACAAGTGTATGATGCGAAGGCATACATAAAACACTGAAGTACAATGTTGTTTAAGCATCTGAAAGGCTATGTTTACCTCCCTATCAACACCCGCTTTCTGTTTGTTTGTGTCCAGAAGCATCATATTGAAACATATCGAATCATTGCGAAGCAACGCAACTGCCAGGTTGGGAACATCATGATGACCGAGAATCTCATGTACATTTTAAGCCCAGGGTCCGCCAGGGTCGAGGCACATTGACGTGTCTCTTCTTGCTTCAGATCTTGAACCCCAAACTGCTAAGATGTTGCATGAAGAAACATGAATTCAGGTCATGGATGGTCATGGTGATGTGAAATTGAGAGGCACAAAGGCACGATCGTGCCCGCCAGACTCACACGATCGAAAGAGATAGGGCTTTGATATTTTGATAGGTTGGTTATATGTTGTTTTGTTTGGGCCTGTGTCTGAGTAGAACATGTCTGTTCTGTTTATCTTCTTTTGGGGGTGAGTCTGCAACCTGGTGGTCACAAACTACCAACTTGTCCAACCTCTGCTCCACTGACCACAAAACAACTGAACAGTCCATTGGAATCTCGCTTGGGCATATCCAACCAGTAACAGTGGATGGAGTGGTTACAGTAGGTTGCAGGCCCACATCTCAAAAATAGTGATTATATGGTTGATCCTTCCCATTGCAGGTTTACTGGGACAAGACCCCAACATATTGCACGTTTTAGTGGCTAGTGGCTACCTCATAGGTGCTGCAAACCACTCTGCAACGACATCTGGCGTTCAAACATGTTCAAACAATGCAAGCTCCAAGTTCATGGGCTGATAGAAATGTGAAAGTGAAAGAATCTGAGTGCAAACAGCTCCCATCAAAAGAACCTCTATAGAGGTTTTCTATCTCCATAAAGAAAACTCCCCAGGAAGGTCCAGCACTAGGAGCACTTAATATGATGTTCCAGCACCACCCCCTTTTGATGGTTTATAAACCCCTGACTACTGTATTTCTATGCACAAGACACCCAAACTGGATGGTGCTGCTAAGAATATGCAGTTTTTTTGCGTCTGCTCCGTCTGCTCCGTCCTGAAAGTGACATGAACTATTTCATGAAATGAATGCATCAGTTCTACCATGTTCTACATCACCTGAGAAGGGAACACCAACATCACATGTCTGAATCGTTTTGGGGAGTTCCAAATGGTGCCCGAGAGTCACAGTGGATCAACTCAAATGGACCGTTTCGACCGTCCTAGCGATCAAATAGCGAGCGTCGATCGTGAGGCTCTTCAAGAAGGACAGAAGGCCTTCCCCATTGCGTTGCACCTGCAGGTGACCCGTCTTGCCACTGACCCTTCGGCAGGCGACCGCCGAAGGAAAGCGACAAAACTTAGCAAATCCGACTACAGGTGAGGTATGGTGAGGTCAACTTGTCTCGCATGAACATGTGAAAACCACTCTGAAGCCCATGAACCAACCAGCATGTCAAAACCAAGAGCTAGGCTAGGCGACAATACACATACAAGATCGGTCTTTTTCTGAGTACATCCATTGATCCAAACATCCGTCCAAACATCCCTCCCTTCGCATCTGGTTCGGAACCGCTTCGGAACCGCTTCTCACATCCGATTGAAATGACTCTGATCCGATCTGCCTGCAGTTGATTCACATATTTCACAAAGGTGCTCACCTTGATTTCATTGAGCGTCGTCTTCCAGGCCTGGACTCAACTCCCTTCACTCGCTTGATTCACTCGTCTGCGTCGTAGGTTCCACGCCACCAAACCGCGTCCTTTTCTTTGTCCGAGAGCGGTCGCTTTCAGAGATGGTGAGCTGAATTTCTGTGACCCCCTTCCCAAGTTAGAACATCCCATGGACGTCCCCACCTGTGGACATCCTCACCGACCGTATGCTATATCTAACCCTATTCACCTCCACCACCCTGAAAGTTCCATCAGTTCGGTCATGTCCGGTCAAGTGGTGGTGATCGCTGGAGCTTGCCAGAACCGGAGTGTGGGGAGTAAGCACACGGGACGTCCATGTGGTGGGTCAACCAAATTCGGGTCTGTCCAGGTTCTAGTCAGCAATGGCAAATGACGCTTAGAAAGTGTCTCTAAACATCTCTGAACAGAGTGGTCTCGCACGTTTGTCAAGTTTGGGTGCAATGGATAGACAAACCTATAGGTTTGTCAAGCATTTTCCATCAAGCATTTTATACGTAGAGATACATAGAGTAAACTTTGTGGATTAAACAGTTGGTCGTCTATAACCCCCCAGTCTAAGAGGCCTGCAAGGACAGGTCCTCTAGACTGGTCAGGCAGCTCAGGCAGCCACGAGCATGATTGAAGCCTCAAAGAGGTGGACCAAAGATGCGGCCAGAAAAGAAGAACACCTTCACAATCCTTCACACCTTCCCATCCGCCTCATCGGCCAACTTGTACACAGGCTTCCCCCCTTTCTTCAATCTCTCCAGCATTGAATAGATCTCCGGCGGGAAGTCTCGCTGGCGAGGTTTGAGCCAATCCTGACACCGAAGCTGCCTGGTTTCTTTGGCTTGGGTCTTCAAAATGCTAAATAGTTCATAGCCTTTTTTGCACGGAGAAGTCGTCATTGAATAGAGGGATTGATATGGATTTGGACCAAAGAAGGTTTCGTTCATCCACTGATGAACCAACAGAACAGATCCGAATAGCAATTACAGTAAATGTAATATAATAATAGCTCTAATAGCTTACCAGACTCTATACCAGTATTTCAGTATATATAGGTTGTCTTCATGTGTGAAGTTGTTCGATTTCAGAAAAAAACTAGACGACGAGTGGCCCGAAAGCATTTTTCATCACGTAGGAAGTCAGAGTGCGAGTTATCTGTTAAGTGTGTTATAAGTGTTCAGTGTGAAGTGTTAAGTCGAGTGTGTTGAGGCAGTGTGTGGGTCTCTGTGTGTGTGTGTATCTATGTCTGTGTGTGTATGTGTTCTCGAAAGTCACCTCCGCGTAGTAAAGTTGTACTACAAAGTCGCCAGTTCTCATCTTCCAGCTCCACAGATTGCTCCGTGTACTAAAGTTCTACTACCAAGTCGCCAGTTCTCATCTTCCAGCTCCCCAGATACTCCGCGTACTCAAGTTGTACTACCAAGTCGCCAGTTCTCATCTTCCAGCTCCCCGGATACTCCGCGTACTAACGTTGTACTACCAAGTCACCAGTTCTCATCTTCCCACTCCCCAGATACTCCGCGTACTAAAGTTGTACTACCAAGTCGCCAGTTCTCATCTT